ATTGCACCACGTGTACATCGCCGCGTAGATTGCACCACATAACTCGCACAACCTATGATGCACCACCTAGAGCGCACCACATATATTGTACCACGTCGATTGCGCTACATAGACTGCACAAAATAGATCGCACCGCTTATATTGCACAACATAGATCGCACATCATCGATTGCGCAAAATTTCTTTGCACAGCATCTATTGCACGTATCTGGCACATTATTGATCGCTTCATACCAGTTGCTAGACAGACGTTGCACACCATAAGTCGCAACACGCATACGTTGCACCACAACGATTCTCATTCCTAAAAAAAGGTTCGACCACCCCTTCCCGGGGTTCAATATTCATTTTCCCGCATTGCAATGTACACACTATTTTGCCCCATCGTCCATCCGAACTATGAACTCGTAATATCCCAGCCAAAGTGGTACCGCCCCTCCGCCATCTCCCCCCCAAAAAATTACGAGCGCGCGCTCGTTTAACAACAATCAGAAGTTCCCAACCATCCCTTTCAACAAAAAGGGATGAAGTGCATACGCGCGCGTCGTCGCGCGCGCATGCCGAAACCCTTCAAGAACTCGGTTTCGGACGGATTTCGAAATCGAGTGTCCAAAAACCCTATTAAATAACAAAGGGTTTCGCAACACGGATTTTCAACATAAGCTTGCGCATGCGTTCTTGTTTGCTAATTCTCAAGAAAGCCATAGATTTTTCGACATGTGCATAATGTGTTGCCCAACGGGCTTCGCGCGTGCGCCATAGAATTCACCACATAGATCGCACCGCCAGGTTGCACCACGTAGGTTGCACAACATTTTTTTGCTAGCAGCACATTGTTTTGGGGTCCACGCTGGCTAATACCTATGTGTGCACAGGGTTTTGAAGCATCAGGATGAAAGTGTACGCAGCATTCTCGCCTCCTCCTGCCCAGCTCAGCACAACTCTGAACTCATCTCAAAGCAAAGCGGGGCGGAACTCGAGATCGAGCATCCCCTCCTTCGCCCCCCTCAGGGCAATTTCATGCGTCATTGCATGACGTCCTGTGCGTAGGAGGCTCGCTGGTCGGGCTTTCCCAAGACAGGCCCGGATGGGCCAGAGGGTGTTGGCCATGAAATGGTTTGGAGGGTGGCACGGTGCGCGATGTCGTTGTAGATATAGGTCTAGGCGTCCGAGACGGGGTCGGAGTGGATGGGGTCGGAGGATCGCGCCGCATCGGCGATGCATCGGCGATGCATCGGCGATGCGGCTCGATGTGGAGCCAGATTTTCTCCACGCAGGCGTCGCCGATACATCGCCGATGTCGCCGATGCATCGCCGCTGCATCGGCGATGTATCGCCGATGTGCCGACGATGCGGCGCGATCCTCCGACCCATCTACTCCGACCCCATCTAGGAGGTTTCTAATAGGGCGCAGGCACCTGCAGTCTCAGCCATTCTCGGAGTGCGGGGTGATCGTTGTGCTGGTCCTCTGTTCGTGCCTCGGCGCGGGTGCCATATAGCCGCGTAAGCTACCAGCCCGCCTCGTGCTCTACGCCTGGGAGCGAGATGCCTGCGTGCCACGGCCTGGCGTGCTCCACGCTTCGGAGTGGGATTCATGCGATTTGCCCGCCGTACGAGAATCACGAGGCATTCGCACTGTGGGGGCCTGCATGTTTGGCTCGTTCGCGTCGGCCTGACCATGCTTGCAGATGCAGGTGCCGCTGTGATGCAGGCACAGTGCCGAGCTTGAGGAGCGAGCAAGCCTTCTCGATGCAGGTCGTTGGTAGCTCTGTGGTTACCGAGTGCACTTAGCGTGCAGTTGTTCGGGGCGCCTAGCGACATACTTATCGCGTATGTGCAATCGACGTCGCAGTATTACCACAATATCAAGTGTTTGGCCGCGCGACTTACCAGCATTACGAACGCGACGATGTGTCCACCGATGGTGAGCGTGCGCGAACGCCGCACGAGTTGCCGCGTGCTTCCCTTCTCGGAGTGCACTTCATGCGTTCCAGAGGAGGTGTGCACTTGATGTGTTGTTGGGAATTGGCGTCGTTGTGGCCCTCTCTGTTCAGGGAGGCATAGTGCACGTTTGAGTCCACCAGCGGCCGATGTAATTGTTGGCACGTTCGTGTCGGCGTGACCGTGTTTGCAGAGACTGGTGTTGATACAGCCACAGTGGTTATATTGAGAAGCGAGCAAGTCTTCCCCACGGAGATCGTGAGTATCTCTGTGGGTAACATGTGCGCGCAACATTGGGCGTGCAGTTGTTTTGAGCGCCGATCGACACACTGGCCTTGTGGCGATCGGCTTCGCAGGATTGACACAAGCTGAAGTGCTTGGTCGCGCGACTCACCAGTCTGACGCAGACGACGATGCATTTGCACTTCGGGAGCGTGCTCGAGTGCCGCGCGAATTACTAGTCCACCTTGTGTTTCCCGTCTCGGAGTGGGTCTCATGAGTGCCAAACCAGGTATGCGCTCGATGTGTATTTGGGAGTTGGCGTCGCTGTCCATGCGAGCTGATCTTTTTGAGGCCCTCTTGGGGTCCTCCTGGGGCTCTCTCGGGGCCCTCTTGGGGCTTCCTTGGGTCTCGTTTGGGGGTCTAGTAACCTTCCTGGACCCCTCTTGGGGGCCTCTCGGGAGCCCTGGAGGGTCTCTTATGGCCATCTTGGAGGCCAAGGGGACGGGTCGCTCAAATAGCCCCCCGCCCCTCAATAGCCCTCAAGACCGTGTCTTGGGGCCCTCTTGGGGCGTTCTTGCGGCGCTCATGCGCGCTATTGGGCCGTCTGGGGGGGGGCCCTCTTGGGGCTCTCTTGGGCCATCTTGGGGCCATCTTGAGGCCTGAAAAGCCATGGGACGCAAAAAGGCGCGCGAAGGCAACTCATCGAAGTTCCGTTGGTTTTTCAATGATGTATTTGGGTGGTTTAGAAAGCACTTGTAGCCGTCTTGTGTCCACCGTGGGGTTTCTTGGAGGTATGTCTGAAGCTATCTTGAACCATCACCGGCTATCTTGAGCCAGCTGGGAGGCAATCTTGGAGCATCGGAAGCCCTTTTGGAACCATCTTGAGCGAAGCGTAGCCCGCTCGCTACGACTCCTGGACGGCGTCCGGCGTCTCCCGGTGCGCTTGCGATCAAAAAGTATCCCCACCATTCCATTCAGAAGCGCTGCCGATGCGAGCTGATCTTCTCGAGGCCCTCTTGGGATCCTCCCGGGGCTCTCTCGGGGCCCTCGCGGGGCGCCCTCACGGCCCGCTTGGGGCGCCTCGGAGGCCTCCGTGCGTCTGCCCGCCACTTCCGGGCAGACTGCCCGCGCCGCGGCTCCTCCCCGCCCGGAGGGCTCTTGAAGCAGGGCAGCTGGCTGTCCCCCCGGGGTGGTGGGGAGCACGACGGCCCCGGGCCAGGCCATGGAGGCGCTGCCGCGCAGCGGAACCGGGGGCCCCGGTGCCCCGCGCCGGTGGCTGGCGGCAGCGTCCGCGCTGGGAAGCGGCGGCAGCTGCGCCTGTGGAGGCCGGCGGGAGCTGTTCCGCGGGGGACGGTCGCCTTGCCTCGGGTCCTCTTCAGGAGGGGAAAAAACACACAGACACAATTAATCGTCGATTCCCAAGAAAATATTAGAAAATATGGGAATTGGGGGAGAAGACAAAAACCCAGAAAATATAGGAAAATATGCGGAATCGTTGTATTTGTGTGTATTTAGTTGTGTGTCCCAGGGCCCCTTCACCTCTGGGCGGCGGCTGGCGGAAGGGACCGCGCGGAGCGTGGAAGGAGCCGCGCCGGCGGCTGCTGGTGGAAGCGTTGTGCCCGCGGAGGCGGCATCTTCCTCGCCCTCCCCCCCCTGGGGGGCCTGCACCGCGCGCCACCGCGGCGGACCGCCTCCAGAGGAGGAAGAGGAGGAGGAGGAGGAGGAGGAGGAGGAGGAGGAGGAGGAGGAGGAGAGAGGAGGAGGAGGAGGAGGAGAGGAGGAGGAGGAGGAGGAGGAGGAGGAGGAGGAGGAGGAGGAGGAGGACGAGGACGGAGAAAATAAGGAGGAGGGAGGAGGGAGGAGGAGGAGGGAGGAGGGAAGAGAGAGGAGGGATGAGGAGGGAGGAAGACTCTTGGCCGGCGGGGTGCAGGGTCCCGGGAGTGTCGGTGTGGTGTCCCGCTACGGCGTCCCGACGGTGCTCTGTGCGCGTGGGGGTCCCCGCCCCCCCCCCCCGCGCGGCCAGAGCACCGTGGATCCCCAGGCCTGCGGCGCGGTGCGGGCGTCCGCTGCCAGCGTGGCGGCATCGGCGGATGGCGGAGCCCTTTTTCTCGCCTCTTTCCTTCCCTCCGCTCGAATGGCGGCGGCGGCGGTCTGGTCGGCGGCCCGTCTTCCTCCGGTGGCGGTGGGCGGTCTTCGGGCTGAGGCTCTGCCAGGGCGCCGGGCGGCAGTGTTGCACTGCCACGGCGGCTTCCGAAGAGGCTGACGGCGCCGGCCCGGCCAAAGGCCGAGAGCATGCGGCAAGGTCAAAAGATGCGTACCGTATTTTCAGATTCTACCCCTCTTGGGGGCCTCTTGGGAGCCCTGGAGGGTCTCTAGGGGCCATCTTGGAGGCCAATGGGGGGGTCGCTTGAATAGCCCCCCCCCACCCCCTCGAGCCCTCTTGGGGCTCTCTTGGGTTATCTTAGGGCTATGTTGAGGCCTCAGAAGCCCATCGGACGCAACAAGGCGAGAAGGCAACACTCATCGAATTTCCGTTGGTTTTGAACTGATTTGGGCCTATTGGGGAGATACTTTTGAACCATCTCCGGCTATATTGAGCCATCTTGGAGGCAATCTTGGAGCGCTGGAGGCTTCTCTGGAGACGTCTTGGGCGAAAAAGAGAACCCCCTGATACCCCCGTCCCCCTAGAATCCAGACCCCTGGGAGGGGGTCATCGATCCTCGACCGTCCGCGACCATCCTCGGTGCGATTCGATTTCGATCCCATCTCATCCTCCATCCTCTCTCCTCTCGTCTCCTCCGCCCTCGGGCGGCCGAAGCCAGCGGCCCGCCGGCCAGGAGAAGCAGAGCCTCGCGGAGAAGCTGGAGAAGCTAGAAGCGTCGGTGGCCGCTGTGAAAAAGGACCGGAGGGAGGAGGAGGAGGAGGAGGAGGAGGAGGAGGAGGAGGAGGAGGAGGAGGAGGAGGAGGAGGGGCCTTTCCCAGACCTCTGGCGGATTTGTCTTTCCAGTCCTCGCGTTTCTTCTCCTTTTCGGCTTCGGTGGGGCCGTTCTCAGGCGCCGCCGCGAAAACTAGTTCTCGGACGAAGGAGTTGCCCGCGGGGAAGCGGTGGAGACCTCTTGAGCTTGCGGGCTAAAAAAACAGCAGCACATCGTCGTTTCTCTGGGCTTGGAGAAACAGGAGCCCGAGGAGTGCAGTCGGCCCGGACTAGTAGGTCGGCCCTGCCAAATCAAGGGTACCGTCGTGTCCTGTGTCTCGCGACCCGTGCCTCCTGCATGTCTGCGGCACTGTGGACCCCAGAAGGGTCTTTTGTCCTCTCGCGTGTCCTGTCCAATGAAGTCCGGCTGTAGGGTTGGCTGTGATGGTCAGGCCTCTCGCAGGGGCCTCTCGCAGGGGCCCTCGCCGCCACGGGTGGATCCGCCTCGCAGAGCTCATTTCGAGCCCATCGATCCGATTCGATACACGCCCGTCGTTGAAAGGAGGTACTTCTGGATGCCCAGATCCCCATCTATTTCAAGCGCCTTCCTACTTCAAGAATCGAGGTGTTTTTTATGTGTTTTGTTATTCTCTCGGAGGGCCTGAGACCATCCTGCTTTATCCGCCTTTCTACTCTATGTGTTTACCTACTCCCTCCGACCGACGTGTACCGATTGCAACCAGCCCGATCCGATTCGAGTCTGAAGTTTCGACGATCCGATGCGGCCCGATTCCCGTATGGCCCTGTTGTACATTCTGGCGCAGCCCATCCGATTCGATCTTGACCCCGTCCCGATGCGGCCTTGTCCGACGCAGGCTCCGCCACTGGGACCTTAGATGGAGCTCCCTATGAGGCCACGAAACGTGTAAGAGGTGTGCCAAAATGGGGCGGCTGCGACGTGGCCCCATCTCCCGCGCGGACGGATCCCGCCCCCGAGAGGTCCAGGGGCTGAGGCGGAGCGGCCACGGTTGGGGGAGCCGTGGCCCGGGGAACCCACCGGTTCGGGCCCCCATCAGTCGCCGAGCGCGTTTCATTATTACCAGCCTCGAACTTATCCCTATCCCTAAGATTGACACGCCAAAAGGCGATGACAATCTTAGGGATTCGCCCTCAAAAAATAAGGGAATCCCTAAGATTGGCATCGTGATGAGGAGATGCCCAGCATAGGGATAGGGATATGTTCCAGGCTGGTAACATTGTTCTGCACGAATGAGATGGGCACGGAAATAATGGGTACATGCTCAACAGCAGTTCCTGTTCAGCTTGAACCGGATGCGCTGTCCGCGCCGCCGCGGCCCGTGTCCATTTGAGACAGGAGGCGGCCGGCCCAACAGCGACCGCTGTTGGTTTGGGACAACATGTGGTATTGGGCGTTCTACCAATTTTTTCCGTATCCATTTCGGGCGTCCAAAACTACTCGCAAATTGTTTACTCGCAAACGTCCGAAAAAAAAAACATACGTCTGCCTCTGAGTAATCTATCTTAAACTCCCTGGCGCGGAACCATCTTATTTACGAGCAGCTGCTCTGCGAGTAGTGGAACGCGCTTGTCTGATCACGAGAATCTGTCTGTACGATGGGTTCCCTCGGAGGGGGACTGAGCACAGCTCACCCAGTTGTGTCCTATTCTGCGAGCTTGAGGGGAGAAGGAGCCTGGACCTCCGTCGCCACGAAGCGGGTCAGGAGGGCCTCATGCTCCCGCTTCTCGCGGGGTGGCCCCAGGCCCCGGGACTCGCAGAGCAGCAAGTGCGCGCGGCGAGAAGTTGGTCGCGGAGGGATGGGGCGTCGTGGAAGCACATCAGATTGGCGTCGGGGCGGTTAGTGGAGAGAGAGAGAGAGGGAGACCGAGAGCGAGAGAGACAGAGAGGCCTCCTGCCATCCACAGGATTTGGCTTCACCTTCTGTCCAGGGGCCCGTTGCTTCTTTTTTCGGTTTTGGGCTTGCTGGGGTGAGGAGGGGCCCGAGCGAGACAACGGCGGCTCTCCCACCCCGCCCAAACCCGGTCCTCGAGGTCAGTCCCCGGACCCCTCCCGGTGTGTCCACCCTGGCCTCCAAGAGGACGTCAAGGCCCGAAGAGGACGAGAAAGGCCGATCGTCATCGCCACCAGTAAGTCGGGCATGTCCCACAACACAGGAATGAGATTGAGAAATGGTCAGAAAAAAGTCTGGGGACGATGTTGCGATTGTTTGGGGATCGTTGTTGAGTATTGTTTGACTATGTTGTATTTTTCGTTGAAAATCCCCCTGTAGGGGCACATGCCCGACCTGACGCCACCACCATCATCGGAGCATGACTTTTCACGGCCATCGGCCGAAACCTACGGCGTCCGTGATTGCAGTGGGCGCCGCGATTTCCTTTGCCTTTTCGAAAGCTGTTCGGGACCACTGGGCAACTTATGGGCCATGCCCAGCACAGAGCTCGCAAGCGCCGAGATACGATTCTCTCACTCTGGTGTGTCGCTGCGTTCTTTCCATCATCGCGCACGGATTCGGCATACAGTCAACGCGCCTAGTAAGGACGCGCGCCTTCCTCTAGGGTATCCTTGAGTCCTTGCCTCTGCGGCCCGTCCTTCGCCGTTTTCACTGGCCGCCCCCCGCCCAAAAATCCAACTTCGGCCTCCAAGGGTCTTGCGTCCTTACCTCGCGTCCTTACTATACGTTTTGACTTTATGTGGTTTTCCCTCGTCCCTGGATCCACGTCGCCCTGAACTACACCATCTCTTTCGCATCCCTGCTGCTACTTGACGACCATATGGTTTTCGACAGATGTGTTGAAGCATTCTGACCGCTTTCGGGGTATCCCAGGCTACCAGCAGGGAAAGGGGCATACATTTACGGCACGCAGCCGCTGGCCGTTTGGCTGGAAGATTGGTCCCAAATGATATTCGTAGTGTTCGTCTTGCGTAGACAAGAGACCTCAGAATGTGGCTTCTGTCTGACCGTCGCCGCTACCCTCGCTCCAGGACCACGCCCCCAGCGGCCTCCCATCATCATCATCATCATCATCATCATCATCATCATCATCATCATCATCATCATCATCATCATCATCATCATCATCAGCATCATCAGCATCATCAGCATCATCAGCATCGTCAGCATCGTCAGCATCAGCATCAGCATCATAATCAGCATCAGCATCATCATCAGCAGCATCAGCATCATCATCGTCATCATCATCACCATCATCATGACTACTACTAGTGCGCACCAGTCGATCCTTGGTCTGGATCCGTAGCGTGTGTGGCTCAAGAAAGGACTCCCTGGATGCAGATGCAGATCGATCCTCTGCTGTTGTACACACTCACCAGAGACTCACTCTTCGGACTGTAACATCTGTTTGGTGGGCAGCTGCCGGAGGAACACTGCCCGCCCTGCGTCCGTCAGTGCGTGGGCTCGAGCGAAGGGGCTGGATAGTGCTCTGTGCTTGGGCGCCTGGTCGCCCGGCAGCTTCACGGCCAGGCCATGAGCACGACAGCCAGAGGGACACCCTTCCACTTCCATTTCGCGATCCAGTTCGGTGTCGTCGTGGTTGCTGTCGTGATCTGCGCACTCCTTGGACGTGGGTGCTTGGCCCCCTGCTTGGACGACGGCTCAGGCTCAGCAAATGGTGGCGGCCGGGGCCCAGGCCGCAGCGGCGGGACCAGCAGTGGCGTCATCGTCGTTGGCTCCGGGGCGTAAGGTTTTGGCGCGATAAGACGACGACCTGCGGCATGTCCGCATCGTGCTGCAAGTGGTGGCGAGAGCGAGCGAGATCAAGTGTATCATCAACACCCCAGGCAAGGACATGCAAGAGGAGTACTACGGCCCCAACAACGCGGACATCTCAGGAATGCGAGCTTTTCGAGCGGAGGGGGGCATCCCAGCTCGCTTGCAGAGCGCGAACATCTACAAGGTCGGGGCAGTTGCTGAGCCCGAACGAGCCGCTCTCCGAGGCTCGATGGAGGAGGCGGTCGACCTGGTGGCCTTGGCCAGTGGCTTCGCGGCGCCTGCCGCCGCTGAGTCTGAGGTCTGACTGTTCACGGAGGCGATCGCGACCGTCGCGATCGGCGACGAATGCCCTGGGAAACCGGGGGTGGCCGTCGACAAGCGGTTGCGCTCGTGGGTTCGAGGCTCCAGGTTCGGGAAGGTGTTTGTCTTTGTCGGCATCCGCGGGGGCCGTTCTGTGGCTTCGGGGCCGTCAAACACGGATCTGGGGTGGAAAACTTCACCAGGCGGACTTTGCGGGGGGGCTTAGGGATCAACGCTGAGCAGAACTGAGCCTCGTCCGCACCTCTTGACCGATTTTGTGGAACCCCAACCAGTTCAGAACCCCCTACCGCCTCGAACCAACCGTCACGGGCAACGATAAACGATAAGCTCGGGGGGGACGCATCGACCCCCAATCGCCCATTCACCGCCGATCAGGGGCCCGATACCCCACCCACGACCAGGAACGCGCGGATTCACGGAAGGCTTATCGCCGATCCATCGGCGATGTATCGCCGATTCCACGTCGATGCTTCCCTCCGTGCGCCGGTCCCCCCTCCCCCTCCCGATGCCCCTCAAACTCGGACCCCGCGGCGTGGCCCGGAGGAAAAGTTTACCGCCGACGCGGAGGTGAACGGCCTGCGGGCCAAGGCCGAGCTCGCGGAGGGCCAGGCCGCGGCCTTCCGAGAGGCCGGGTGCGCCGCGGCATTCCGCGTCCCGCGGAGCCCAGCGTTCGGAGGGGGTGGCGAGGAGGAGAAGAAGGAGGACGAGGACGAGGACATGAGGAGGAGGAGGAGGAGGAAGAACAGTGTAAACCCAAGACCTGCCAACAATATCGCAATACACCTTCCCTCCAAGTTCCCCTTTTTCCCTACAAGGGTTCATGCTTACTGCTGGGAGTGCCCCGTTGGAAGATAACCGGTTGCAAATCCAGAGCTGTGCCAAACACCATCTTGGGGATTTCAACTCCGCGAATCACCGTGACAGTTGCGTCTTGGCGATCCTGATTCGTGCCAGAGCACCGTTTCTGGGATGTCAACACCGCGAATCAACGTGACTGTTGCGCCCAGACCTTTTGGACATCGGCATCTTGTCAAAACACCGTTTCTGATACGTTAGCCATGTCCTCGAAACGGATGCAAGCTCGTAAAACAAATGCGCGCGGCGCTAATGCGAAGGCCACATTTGGAAAAGGAGCCGCCTTTCATCCGCGAAGTTCCTGCAAGTTTTACGGCGAATTTTCGCGGCGTTGAGAGGACAGCCGCATGTTGAAGACCACCCGCCGTTCATCCTCGGAACTGGTTTGCCATGTTTAACGAGCGCGCGCTGCGCTGAGGCGAGAACCGCATTTTGAAAACACCCACCCTCCATCCGTGAAGCTGCTGCGAAACAGTAGTTTCATGATCATTAATGGTGAGGAAGGCTCAGGCGAAACGCGTGGCCCGCCAGTTCGACCGTTCACGGAGTGCGGCAGGGAGGAGTTATCTATAAGAAAGAGGAATGAAGGATGAGGAGGAGGAACATGACGAGGAAAGGAGCAGGGGGAGGACGGAGAGGAGGAAAAGGGAAACCTGAGCAATTCAACCCAAGATGCGTCAACGGTGCTGCAATTAACACTCCCTCCCCAGGGCCCCTCCTCATCAACGCGAGCAAGCTTTTTCACTACGAGATGTGACCCTTGAAAAGACGAGTGCCCTTTAGGCGTGCCGTTCAGGCGAGAGCCCTATTTTGAAAAGCATGTGGTTTGCATCCTTCTCGCGAGGTTGGACCAGAAACTTCAAAGGAAAGTTCAGCAATAGCCGCTTTTTGACAAGGAACCGCCCCCCATTCGGGTAATTGTTCCACAACTATACACTTATGTTTGGTCATGATGTGCAAGGACGTCTCAAACGAGGGTCCCAGGACGGACTTCAGGGACCATCTTAGGGGCATGTTGGAGGTTGAGGCCCCCAAACGCGCACCCAGGATTTGAGAAACGTCACGCAGGGATCCCCCGAGAGCGCCCAGGGGCGCCCGTGAGTTGGGGGTCTGCGGCCTTCAACGTGCGTGGAACGATACTGAGGAATCTGATTCGGGACGTGGGGGGCACCCAACTCAGTGCTTCGCGGCCCGGTGGCGGCTTGTTACTCGCATTATTTTGTCTGAGAGTTCGCAACATGGCAATGTACTCTTTCATGACTGGCAAGTTTTCCGAGCAGCGTTCAACCGTGGCGGCGAGGGCCTCGAGAAACGCCCAACAAATTCTTGCGAAGAGCATCCAGGCCGACTAATCACGACGAGCACCCCCGATATCCGATCCACCCCGAACATCGATCCTCTCCCCGTCCCCTCGGGGGCGTCCAGGAGTCCAAGAGGGGGGTGAGGGCTGTGTGCGTGTGTGTGTGTGTGTGCGTGTGTGTGTGTGTGTTGTGTGTTGTGTGTGTGTGAGAATGTGAGTGTGAGTGTGAGTGTGTCTGTCTGTCTGTCTGTCTGTCTGTGCGTGCGTGCGTGCGTGCGTGCGTCCGTGGGTGCGTGCGTGCGTGAGTGCGTGCGTGCGTGCGTGCGTGCGCGTGTGTGGGTGTGTGTGTGTGGGTGTGTATCCAGGTGTGTATCCGGGTGTGTATCCGGGTGTGTATCCGGGTGTGGGTGTGGGTGTGTGGGTGCGTGTGCGGGTGCGTGTGCGTGTGCGTGTGCGTGTGCGTGTGCGTGTGCGTGTGCGTGTGCGTGTGCGTGTGCGCGTGTGCGCGTGCGCGTGCGTGTGCGCGTGCGTGTGCGTGTGCGCGTGCGTGTGCGTGTGCGTGTGCGTGTGCGTGTGCGTGTGTGCGTGTGTGCGTGTGTGTGCGTGTGCATGTGCGTGTGCGTGTGCGTGTGCGTGTGCGTGCGTGTGCGTGTGCGTGTGTGCGTGTGTGCGTGTGTGCGTGTGTGCGTGTGCGTGTGTGCGTGTGTGCGTGTGCGTGTGCGCGTGCGTGTGCGTGTGCTTGTGCGTGTGCGTGTGCGTGTGCGTGTGCGTGTGCGTGTGCGTGTGCGTGTGGGTGTGGGTGTGGGTGTGGGTGTGTGGGTGTGGGTGTGTGGGTGTCGGTGTGGGTGTGGATGTGTGTGTGTGTGTCTGTTTGTGTGTGTGTTGGTGTTTGTGTGTGTGTGGATATCATGCCCCGGGCCATAAAATCTCCCACATTCCATGGCCCCCCCCTTCGTCCGCGCGCATGCCTCGGACCACGATGTGTTGACCGTCCTACGGCCAGATCGAGGTATAAGATCGAGGGCCGTTCGGGAAAGGCACCCTGATGTTCTTCGTGATTGTTGGGTGTTCTTGCGCATCCTGGGGGAGGGCACCCTCGAATGTTCTTCAGTTTGGGCCAGCGAAGTGACCCGTGTTCTTGGAGGATATTCTTCTGTCTCAGGTCCGGTCGTGTTCCTGCCCCCCCGAGATGAACTGCGTGTATTGGGAAGTCGAACCTGCTTCCAAAAAAAAACAATACACGCAGTTTGTTTTTTGGAGCAGGATCGACTTCCCACTGCACGCAGTGCATCTCAGGTTTTTTGTTGGAGGCAGGTTCGACTTCCCAATACGCGCAGTTTTTATTGTTTGGGGAAGCTGGTTCGACTTCTCGATGCATGCAGTTCATCTGAGACCCCCCTCTTCGGTGCACATCCGAGAAGGGGGAGAGCCCCCGCCGTGTGTCCTGCGCCTCCGCGGATGTCCTGCGCTGCCGCTGACCGCCCCTCTCCCTGGCCCCCCTCTCCGGAGCCCCGGGTCGAGGCAGTGTCGAGCGAGTCTGGTCAGCGCCTGCTGCATGAGGGGAGCTCCCGCAGGTGGACAGACAAGTGGAACCATTGACACTACGCCCCGCCGTCCCCCCTGATTTCAAAGCTGGCTTCAGGCATTCGGCAGCACAGGCGGAGAGGACAAACAGAAGTGGACCCCCCAGGGCCTCCGGGAGGCCGAAGTCAATTTTGAAATTGGGGGGAGAGGGGGGCGAACGCGTGGTCGAAGACGAATGTCAGGCGATCGCAAACATGGATCAAGGGGGCGTGGACTAGCGACGGGTCCCTTTTCCATGGGAAATCGCGGGTTTCCGCCGAACAAGGCGGCATTGGCCGCATTCTGGGGAGGGCACCTCCCCCGATCCATGGACTCGGCGACCGCGCGCGGAATCCATGGATCGCGAGTCCATGTCCGCGCGCCCCCGAGAATGGGATTCCACTTGTTTCTCCCCTGACTCGGCACCGCCTGATCCCGGGGCTTCGCCCTCTCATGGCCTCGACGTGAGGCCCCGCCTTCTTGTTTCCTTCCTCTGTTCACTAAAGCTGTGCGCGGCCCGCTTAGCTTCGACCGGAAGAGGTGCGCTCTCGCCCTGCGGATCAAAAGAGTTTGTCCCCTGACCGTCCCGACCCTCCGGGAGCGCCTGCCCGGCCGACGGGCTCCTCGTCGCGGCCCTCGCGCCCGGCGAGGCTCGCGCGACACCGCCCCGAGCCGCCGCCTCGCGCAGCCGAGTCCCTCCTCCCGGCAGGCGCGGCTTTTAGCCCCTGCTTCTCGCCACCCTTCCAGCGCCCCTGCTTCTCGCCCTCCTTCTTCCTCCTCCTCCTCGTCCTCGTCCTCGTCGTCCTCCGCTTCCTCCTGCTCCTCCTCCTCCTCCTCCTCCTCCTCCTCCTCCTCCTCCTCCTCCTCCTCCTCCATGTTCCTCATTCCTCCATCCTCATCTTCCACCCCTCTCTTCCATACATCTTCTTCCTTCCTCCATGCTCCTTCCTCCCTGCTCCGCCAGCCTCCTGCCTCCATCCTCCTCCCGCCGCTGCGGCGCGGCACGGGCAGCGGTCCAGACAGCGCTGTCTCTTTCTCTCTCGCTCCAGAGCAAGAAGCAGTTTCGCGCAGGCGCTCAACGGCATCGCGGCTACGGTGAGCGCGGCGGTCAACGACCCAGACAGCGACCCCGTCAAGCTGCTGGAGGCCGCGGCAAGGGGGGGCGGAGGGAAGGAGGGAGGGAGGGTAGGAGGGAGGGAGGGAGGGAGGGGGGAGGGCAAGCTAGGTGCGCTCGCGTCATATCTGACGTCCTACCCCTCCCTCCCATCCCTTACCATGGCGCTGATTTTCTCTATCCGCGGACGCGTGTCGTAGCGGACCTGTGGCTCCGCGCGCGCGTGCGTAGTGGGTGGTGGTGCACGTGCGTGCGTGCGTGCGTGTGTGCGTGGTTGTCGTGGTGGTGGTGGTGGTGGTGGTGGTGGTGGTGGTGGTGGTGGTGGTGGTGGTGGTGGTGGTGGGTGGTGGTGGTGGTGGTGGTGGTGTGTGGTGGTGGTGGTGGTGGTGCTGGGGTGGTGGTGGTGGTGCTGGTGGGGCGGAGGAAGGAGGGAGGGAGGGTAGGAGGGAGGAGGGAGGGAGGGGGGAGGGCAAGCTAGGTGCGCTCGCGTCATATCTGACGTCCTACCCCTCCCTCCCATCCCTTACCATGGCGCTGATTTTCTCTATCCGCGGACGCGTGTCGTAGCGGACCTGTGGCTCCGCGCGCGCGTGCGTAGTGGGTGGTGGTGCACGTGCGTGCGTGCGTGCGTGTGTGCGTGGTGTCGTGGTGGTGGTGGTGGTGGTGGTGGGTGGTGGTGGTGGTGGTGGTGGTGGTGGTGGTGGTGGTGGTGGTGATGGTGGTGGTGGTGGTGCTGGGGGTGGTGGTGGTGGTGCTGGTGGTGGTGGTGTTGGTACTGGTGCTGGTGCTAGTGGTGGTTGTGGTGGTTGTGGTGGTGGTGGTGGTGGTGGTGGTGGTGGTGGCGGTGCGGCGCGGTGGTGGCGGGCGGATGGGCGCGCGAGAAAAAGTCCCGCGCTGGGGCGAGAACGCCGTCCTGAACGACGGAGGCCAAACACCGATCCGAAAATGAGGCCCACGCTGCAGCGGGAGCACGATTCGGAACGAGTCGGGAGCAGAAATGAGGCCGGCGCCTCAACGAGAGCAGCATTTTGGGAAAAAATGACGCCGGCGCCTCAGCGAGAGTCGTTTCCCGGGATTTCCCAGGGATCCTGTGTGTAAAAAAACAGTACGCGGAGGGTGCGCGGCCATCACCCAGACGCCATCAGGGGAAGAGGGAGCGTATTTTCATATTGAGTAATTGTGGAGGGGGAACGAGGAGGGAGGAAAGATAACGCTAGAGTAGAGACGAGGAGGGAGAAGGGGGGGGAGACGGACTACGGCGACCATGAAGCCGAGGAGGAGCAGCAGGTCGAGAAGGGTAGATGGAAGGTGTCTGGGAGAGGAGGACGTGGAAGAGACGAACGGAACGATGAATGGCAGGGAGTGAGAGGGAGGGAGGAGGGAGAAGGAGCAGGAAAAGGAAAATGGCGGAACGGGAATGGCTGAAGAGGAGGAGGACGAGGAGAAGGAGGAGGAGGAGGAGGAGGAGGAGAGACGCGGTGCTTCCATCCAGGCATCGCTTGGCCAACACAAAAGGAGGATGAGGAGCGGAAAGGGAAAGGCGGGAGGAGAGGCGGAAAGAGGGAGGGTGATGGAGGGAGCATGATGGTATGGATGTTCGGTCGTTTCTTCCACTGTGTTGTCGACGCTTCGTGCATCCAATCACCAGGCGAGTTTCATGAAGTCCAGGAGTGAATCACACCCGGCTCTGCAGTTTTCGCGAATGCGGATGAGAAGGAGGAAGCGAAGGAGGAGGAGGAGGAGGAGGAGGAGGAGGAAGAGGAGGAGGAGGAGGAGAGAGGAGGAGAGAGGAGAGAGGCGGATGAGGAACATTCGGAGAAGGTGGAGCATGAGTCAGGAGAAAGCGGGAGGCACACCGATGATACGAATGGGGGGAGACCAGTGCGCCAGCGGCTCTATATCGAAGCAGACGACGCCGATGACGACGACAATTTGTTTCGCTCTGGGGGCACCTTGGGGCTCTCCTGGAGCCATCTTGGGCCCACTTTAGGTACTTTTCGGGCCCTCTTGGAGCCCTCTTGAGGCTCTCTTGGGGCCCTTTGGGGTGCCTTTCGGAGCCATCGTGGAGGCCATCGATCAAAGAAGGGGAGGGTCTTCATGGCAGCCACCTGTCGGGGCCCTCAAAATCACCTCTTGGGGGCCTCTTGGGGCGCTCTTAGGGCCGTCGCGGGGCCGTCTTGGGCCCCTCTTGCGATTCTCTTGGGCCATCTTGGAGCCATCTTGAGGCTTTGGAAAGCCTATCGGAGCAGCAAATCGTGTTTCTTCTCCCGTTTTGCACTCTCGTGGACATCCCTGGGAGGCTCCGGCGGTAGTGTGGCCTCTTGGAGACATGTTGGAGGCCATCTTGACCAGACTTAGGCTATGTTGAGCGATCTTGGCGGCCATTTCGGGTTGGGCAATCTTGGACGCTCTAACACCTCGCGCCCCTCCCCGCCCAGACCCACAGAGGGGGGAGGGAGAGGCGTGAAGGGGGAGGTGTCAAGACACCTCTCTCAGACGTAAACGGTTTGGCTCACTTCCGCCCGCCCTCACAACACTAGATAGTACCCGAGGCCCGAGTCTCAGCATATTCTGCGGTCGTCTTAGGATAGAGAGCTGTTGGAAACCAACGCAGGCCCTAGGTGCGCGACGCTGGGGCGAGGTGCGCCACGCATGCCAGTCGCGCCACGCGTGCCAGGCGCGCCAAGCGCACCAGGCGCGCCAGGCGCCCCCGAGGCCCGAGCTTACCAGGCACGCCTGGTGCGCCAGATGTGCCACGTGCGCCAAGTGTGCCGCATGCTCCAGCCGCGTCGGGTGCGCCACGTCCGGGGCACGCGCAGAGTGTGCTAGGTGCTCCCGCACACATCGGGCAACATATCAGCCTCCACAATCCTTTCTCGAAAACCAAGGAACAATCGCGGCGGAGTGGCCATCATGATGTCTGGTGGGCCTGCACAGCAGGAAACATGCCATCACCCCCAGCCGTCCCTGCCAAAAGTCAACGCAACGTGATCGCTGGGTGCCCGCGCATGATCCAGATGTAGCCGCGAATTGCAAATTGTATTGGGTTGAACGGGGATTGTGGGATCGGGGCATGGCACAAAAGCAGGTAATATGCCCGCACCCCCGCCGTCCCTGTCAAAAACCAATGTGCAGTGATCGCGAGGCGCCCCCGCATGCTCCAGATGTTGATGCAACGTGTATTCTGCATGTTTCTCTTGCAGGGCTGGTGTGGGGGTGTGCATGGGTCTGGGATGGAGTTTTTATTAATAAGAAATCGTGGTCAAGCTACCCAAAGCCGCAAGCCGCGCCCCTCACTTTCACCCGCCCCCCACTACATCAGGAGCACCCGAGTCTCAGCGCAGGCAGGGGCCGCCATCGATAACCATCGGGAACCACTGCACACGCCAGCCAGGTACGCAATGTGCGCGAGGTCTGCCGCAGTAGACAATACGTCGACCGCCCCACCATCCCTGTCAAAAATTATTGACGTTTCGCGAAGGCTGAGTGGTTCAGCCTTCCGCGTCTTTTGCCTCTTGTTTTCCACCGCCGACAGCCTGTCTCCCGGGCTCGTGCTTCTTAGCTAGCCGGATTGGCTGCTTGGAGTTTCGCGCCGCACGGGCGACTCACTCCGTTGCACTCGCACCCGCGGCCGCTTGCACGTACACTTTTGTATACTGGGCGGCGCCTAGGTGCGTCTGCATGTGAATGCAAAGCATTTTGTTCAGTGCATGGTCAACTGCACGCTTGTTGTGCAGGTGCGATCCGGCCTGCCAACATGGCGGTTGGGGTCGCCAATTCGCTTTGTGCCGCCCGCCCCGGACATTGTCCTTAGCCGCCAGACCGTTGTCGCGCGGCCGCAGACCAAAAAAGTATCCCCACCAGTCGATCGGTTCCCCCTTGCGCTGTGGGGTGGTCTGACAGGGGCTGGCTTCGGCACAGCCTTCCGGGTTCAGCCTTCCGCAGGAGGTACAGCCTTCCGGGTTCACCTTCAATTTTCCCCAGCAGGGTTGCACCACGGCCCACGACTGCTCAGCCTTTCTGGCCAGCTCAAGTCGTCAGGGGTTTGGAGCCTGGCGCCCCACTGGCGACTCACTCCAATGGCCTCCCACTTGCCATCACCCAGCATGACGGACTCGACCATCCTGGTCCACGTCTCTACTGCGTGGGTCGTGCCATGGCAAGCACCGAATTCCGAGACACTTTGTCCTGTGCACGTGCTCGAGTTCCCAGGACGCCGTCCGCCGTCAGCTCCCCCCGTTCAGCTTCGCGGCTGCTGTGTGGGTGGGCCGGCCGGCCTGTGTCTGTTGTGGCTAATTCGCCTAGTTCGCGTCCCAGACTTTGTTTTTGCCGCCTGACCGTCGTCTCGTGGCCGCGACCAAAAAAAATATCCCCGCCAGTTGCACACTCCGGCAGTACTGTGCCCCAGTTCCCTGTGGTCCACCGCCTCCTAAATTTAGGAGCCACGCGAGCGTGTCCTAAAAATAGGAATCACGAACAGGTGCCACGATATCTCAGATAACCGTCAGCTCGTTCCCCACAGCGTGGAAAGCATTTGTTATTGAGTTCCCTGCTTGCGGGATAAGTTTCACCCGTTTTCATGGCATATGCGTGCCATTATTTTGGTTTGTTGCACGCGTTGTACTTCAGACGCGTAGGTGCGCATAAAAATCCTCACGATCCTCCTCGTGCTCCTCCCCTTTGTACACCTTTTCTCCATCTCCTCCTCCTCTTCCTGTCCCTCCTCCTCCTCCTCCTCCGCCTCCTCCTCCTCCTCCTTTTCCTCCTCTTCCTCCTCCTCCTCTCTCCCCCCCCTCCCTCCGTGTTCCTCTCTTGGGCGGCGGGGGGGGGGGCGGTCCTGGAAGTTCTCGAAGGCGCGGCGCCCTCCTCTTCCTCCCTCGCTCCCTCCCTCCTTCGGTCCCTCTTATTCCTACGTTTTCTCGCTATCCTTTTCCGCCTCTTCATCTTTCTTTTCCCTTCACCTTTCACCCCGCCGTCGTCGCCGTCGCCGCCGTCCCCGCACGGGCGCAATTGGAAAACAGGGCGGTTGCAA